TGAAGTGACAAGGAATGGGGGGGGGGGGGGGGGGAAATTAAGAGGTTAGTCTGCCTTGCCAAAAATTTGTGGAATGTAAAGCCAAGTTGGTGCACCGAATAAAGGAAATCCGTGGAAAAAATTGCAAAAAAAAAAAAATTGGGAATGTCTTTTTATTTGCTTTTTTTTATTTTTATTTTATGGAGGCACAGTAGATAACCATTTTGTAAGAATCATCATAAATGCATAATCATTATCGACGGTCCAGAAAATTTTAATATGCTGCCAAATAGAGATGAGTATCGGGCAGAATTAGTTTGGGTATGCCGTCCTTGCTTTCATCTTTGCTTCCGACATCCACCCTCATACCGGTGTATTCGGGATAAGGAAATTCCTATCAGGATGCTTTATTATACCTTACCCATTTATCCAGTAAAAAAAGAATAAATTACATTTATTCTCTCTAAATTATAAGCATTTGAACAAAATATCCTAAAAATTTTAAAAGTAACAAATTTTCTCCCTGAGTAATTCGCCGTTAGCACGCATCTCCCTTTTTCTGCCTCCTCGGTTAAATTTTGAATGTTAAGTGCCACGTGGAAGTCGTTGATGCATTTAATTTTTATTCTATTATGAAATAATGATTTTGCCCATATAGATTGGTCAATATCACCCAATCAGAAGCATCTCAACCCTCACTCTCTTTCCTCTCCCTTTCCAGTGCACAACCACCAAGTTCCGGCAAGTATTCCGGCGTCCATTTTTTACACCTCCCAGCTCATCAGAAAGCTCTCGTCAAGCCGAGTCTGGATTGGTATCTTGTGGATGCCAACTCTGCCAGATGAAGGCACACTTTCCGGCTGAAGTTTCGAAAAAATCAAAACTTCCAATCGCCATAACTTTTCCGTCCGACCTCCGATCGGAGTGATTCCAGTCTCTATGAACTCATAGTGATGAGAGGAACAAGACCCGCCCAAAGTTTGTTGTCGATTCACACTGCAAAAGCTTCACCGCAACTACTCTCCACGGCCGCCACACCTCCTCTCGAAAAACTGCAGTCCCAGCGGTGGTGAAGTGCACCACCCCATCATTTCACTTAGAATCCATAGATGAGTCAATCCCGACTAGTAGCCGCAACCATCCTCGTCGATTTGCAGGAATTCGAAGTCGCCACCGCCGCTCGCTCTGGAGGAGTTTGGTTCCGTCAATTTTGACTGTCATTTCTCATGTTGTTGGTGTCAAAACACTCAAAAGTAAGTCGGTAACAAAAGTCTCAACTCTATTTATCTGATCTGTGGCTCAAAAACCGAGAACCAAGTCGCCGAAAACTGAGAACCAAGTCGGAAAATTTGAATGAATTTTGCTCTATTTCTAACGTAACACAATAAATTACTTTTTTACCCTTAAAGTGAGAGTCACATACCATCCACGTGGCACTTAACGTTCAAAATTTAATCAGGGCGGTGAAAAAAAAGGACGCGTGCTAACGGTGAATTATTCAAGAAGAAAATTTATTACTTTTAAAGTTTATGGTACATTTTATTCAAAAGGGAGAATAAATGTAATTTGCTTATAAAAAAAATATTGCGACAAATTAAATATAAAATTGTTCAACAAAGCATCAATATTTCTCTGCTCCCGTCCCGTTTCTCATTCGGGGCACAATATAAACCTTCATGTCCGCTCCCATCCCCATTTAATAACCCTCATATCCACCTTATTAAAGGTGGGTACCCGCACTCGTGAGTAAAATGCTCATTCCTACTGTCAAAAGCGACATCTCAGCGCTCTACACTCACATTTAGTCATTTTAAACCTGTAAGTAAATATGGTAGACATACATTTACAGCATCGTAAACTACTTAACTCTGTAATTGATGATGATTTTTATTTGTTGTTGTTTGAGAGAGAGAACCGGTCATAGTGATTGTTTCTGCGTTTACTTTGTCAACTGCGATAAAGCAGTTGTGCGTGGGCCTCTGAAAAAGTATATGACATGCAAAATTAAGTGCGTAGCTCTATTATTATTATTATTATTATCGTCGTCGTCGTCCAAGACATAATTGTGTATACCAGGTGGAAAAAAATTTGTCCGCTGACTTAATTCTATAGTTTTGTCAAGTCGAACGTTTGCAAAATTTAGGTATGGAACCAGAAAAATACTCCTATAAATGTAAACTACAATATATGCCGGATTACTTATGCCATTGAGACTGTAAAAACCGTAGTCATTGCTGTCTTGGGTGGGAAGAGTTGATACGAAGTGGCCGTTGAGGTTGGCCTCATAAGTCCTATTCCTGGTGTAATATCGTCTGTCAGATTCACATAAGTGATATGGGGATTTTGGCTGAGGAATGACTTTGGTGCTTAGGAGAATGAAGATGTGACAAGGGATGAAGAACAGTATTGGAGAAAGTAGCCTTGCCATCGGTCGCTGAAATCGATAAAGAATTGGCTTCTATATGTGTTGACGACAAAATTTAGCTGAATAAACCATATTTCTATATAGAAACCTGTTTTGGCCGACGAAATTTGGGATTGGAGTTATTTTAAAACGTAGCTAGACAACTCGTAAAGAAATGCGTCAGCTGAAACAAGCAAATTGATTAATTGGTATGTTTTATTTGATGGGAAACTGACAGCTCTTTCAACCAAACACAACCAAGTAGTCGTGAAATGTGTAAGTTTCCATTAATTTACTTTAAAAAGAAAGATGAATGGATGGATGAATAAAAGATGTGGTAAAGTACAAAGGAGGACACTATTGGAAATTTTCAAAAGTGGGATGAGTGTGAATATGTAAAGCTTAACTCATTGTAGCTTTTATAAGATTGTAATTTCTCCGAACAATTCATTATTTATGTATGCTTGACCAGCGAGCTATTTTCCTATTACTTTTGCTATTTGAAAAGTAGTAACTACATGAGAATAAAGTACATGATTGGGAAGAGACTATTGACTACTTCAACTTAATAAACGACGGATTGGGACAGGAGTGGAAAACAGCGAACCTGGATCTGTAGAAAATCATGTAGCAGTGGACCTGTCTGCGCATGGCGTACCTAACACGCATCTCAGTCCGTCAACTATATATATATATATATATATATATATATATATATCGACTTCTAGAAAAAAAGAAAGTTAAATATACGTAATGACTTCTATGTCCCAGACCAATATTTCATAAAGAATAAACAGAAAAAGAAAAAGGAAAAGAAGAATAATCTTGAGATTTGTTTTGTTCTTTATAATCGTAAGTGGTGATATCTCCATATCGGTTTTAGGATTAGATACATATGAGACATATATAAACAATTGATAATTGAACATGGAAGGTTGACGATTCTTGGGAAGAACCGGAAGAAATTATTTCCTTTATGAAAACGTACACGTTACATCGCAGTGTGAAACGAAGAATTCTATGCATTTACTTCATCAATTAACCATGGTATATGAACAAGTAATTATCCTCACTAGCGAGGGTAGAGTTCAGAAATTGAAGTTTCATTTGCAGATGCCAATGCCATATCGGATCCAATGTCGCTATTCGTAAAGAAAGCTGGTTCTGAGGGCACCGGGAGTGACAGAGAATTGCTGTTTAGCATAAGAACAATTGTATCCATTGTTGGCCTATGAGCTACATTTTCTTGGACACACAATAGTCCGATGTGGATGTATCTCATTATTTCAGATACTGAATTAACCGTCACTAATGGATCTATGATATTTGAGACAGTCCTATCAATCCAGTTTCTCCACGCCTGCCACAACATTAGATGTTAGATATAAAATTCCTTTGATTCTTTTCTGCTGATTACCTGAAAAATTCTTTTGATTCGATTGAAAATATATTAAAAAATCTTGCATTTTATGCGGAACTACAATCTAACTTGTACTCACATAGCTTAAGAGGTCTTCAACATGTTCTCCATGACGAAAATAATTATTTTTCTGTCCACTCACTATCTCCAAAAGTAACACACCAAAACTATATACATCGGTCCTAACCGAAAAATGTCCATGCATTGCGTATACTGGAGCCATATATCCACTGAAACAGAGAACATTTCTGTAATTATATTTGAGTGAGATTTAAAGTAGAAACTAAGAACTTCTATTATATGGTTGAATATTCATTTTTCTTTTCTGCAAGGCAACATCATTGGTATAAACTAAGATTTAGCTAAGGTTGGCATGTACTTACTAGGTTCCCACAATTCTATTTGTATTGCCCTGAGTTTGATCAACAACAAACAACCTAGCCAATCCAAAATCCGAAATCTTTGGGTGCATTTCTTCATCCAACAAAATGTTACTAGCTTTGAGATCTCGATGGATAACTCTTAGACGCGAATCTTCGTGAAGGTAAAGGAGCCCTCGAGCAATGCCTCCTATAATTTTGTAGCGCCTCTCCCAATCTAAGTTTGCACGCTTGCTTGGATCTACATATTCATAGATGTGTACAATTCAGTAAAACCTTTAAAGCACGAATACGCATTACAGAGTACTTTTTCAAGAAATGAAACAAAACTGAAGCATAGTGTATTATATATATATATATATATATATATATATATATATATATTTCAGAGATTCCTATAAAAACAGAAGTGGATAAATGCAACCATACCAAATATGAAATTATCAAGGCTTGCATTTGGAACAAACTCATACACAAGAAGCCTTTCACTTCCTTCCAAGCAGAAACCAAGGAGCCTTACTAGATTACGGTGTTGAAGCTTGGCAACTAGTAAGACCTCATTCTTGAATTCCAAATCTCCTTGATCTGAATTCCTAGACAATCTTTTCACAGCTATGTCTTGTCCATCGGGAAGCTTTCCCTGAAATACATCACAAAAATATGAAGAAACAATGATATGAATTGCGCCCAATCAATTTTAAATTTAATAGTACTTGTGTACAAGCAAGAAAACTAAAACAAAAATTACGTACTCGTGACTCATTCAAACAAAGAATTTTATTATTACCCTATAAACAGAGCCAAATCCGCCCTGTCCAAGCTTATTTGCCTCTGAAAAATTATCTGTCCCACCTCTAATGATCTCAAAACTGTAACGCAAGGATTCCAAACTTTCAATTTCCTCAGCAGATTGGTATAAAAATTGGGGAGCTGGAATGAAAAATGCCAAATAAGTCGCATTCCTTTAGAGGGGATTGTAATCAAGTTCTAATACCTTAATTTTAATTTGTAATTTTGATACGTAGAGTAATTGATATACTGCAAATTGCTAGGAGGGAGAGTACTTTGGAGCTCATAATTAAGGAAGTGTATCACCTTTCATAATTAAGGAAGCTACACTTTGGAGCTCATAATTAAGGAAGTGTATCACCTTTCATAATTAAGGAAGCTACACTTTGGAGCTCATAATTAAGGAAGTGTATCACCTTTCATAATTAAGGAAGCTACAAATCCGAGATTTAAAAATCAGAAGTTGTTAGATGATACTCTCAACTTACCTTCTTCGTCCTTTTTCTTTTTCCTCCACAAATACACGCAGGCAGAGATGATCAGTATCATAGAAACAACAGTTGAAACAACAGCAATAATGACAGTTCTTGAAGGGTTGTTCTCTTTATCTGCAATTATAACCAGAACTCAAAAATAAAATAAGAAAAGACCTCAAGACTATAAAGTAGCCGAATCGAATCTTCTGAAATTTGTATACCTCGTATCCTTGTGGTACTGTTAATCGACGGTGGTGCTAGAAGTGGCGGGGATTCCCGTAATGGGACATACGCAGGCCCAAAGAAAAGGTAAATTTCGTACCTAAAGTTACAAGTGGGGCCAACAACTCTTCCTCCGACCTTCCCATCACAACATGTCGGGATAAACCCAAACTGATCATCCAAGCAATCGTCACAGTCTCTCTGCGACAAGTCTGGCGAGCACTGCACCAGCGCGTATATGGTTATAAAGTCTGGAGCACTTGTATTTCCCGTTGCAAATTTGCGAAGAGAACCACCGGCCGCAGCTTGTTTTTTGAGGTTATTCAGCAAAGTACTGAGATTTTGGAAAAAGCCATCCACGTTAGACGTTAGATTACGGGTGTTCCACATAGAATATGTTCGTGAAGTTTCCATGATGCCCAACATGGAGCGGTTGGAGTAGCGTAGCGTACAGTTATCGTACCATCCAACTGCCTCTGCCTTATTGCTGCAACGCTGTCTCAGAAGGTATGCACAGTCGTTGAGGCAAGTACGGCAAAATTTGGAATCGACATCTCCTCTGCATAGCCCCATTGTATAAACTTTATCGGGAGCGTTGCCGTTAGAGAGATTATAAAAGCCGAAGCCATTATCTTCTTTTATGACAAGGGACGACAGGAGATTATCGAGGTTAGCACGGTAGGCATAAGTAACGTTGCCTCCATCCTTTGCACAAAAATAGTATTGGAAATCAGGCTGAGTGGTGGCTCGGATGAGGAGAAGGAAGATGGGGCAAAGGATGTAAAATGGTCTTGAAGGAAGTATCATTGCCATTGATTCTGGAAGATGAGTTTGCAAATTATATATTGATGATGAGTTTGATTTTGGCTCAAGTACTTTGTTCAGAGCAAGCCAAATTTTATAGTAAGTTTGTAAGGACATGTGGAAATTACTGGCTACTCGTTTCAATTAATGGCGCATTTATTAAACTATAAAGAAATGTAATAGAAAATGTAATAAGATTGGAAAGAAAAATAAAGTAATATCATTAAGATTTTTTTTTTTTTGTTTACTTTATTATTATATGGTGTAATGAGAAACAACTTCATTCTATTTTTTTTGTTTATTAAAATTAAGAATAATAATGTTATTAATGTAATCACTACTTTTACATGATTAAATAAGCATTGAATTATAGTAATTCATTAAAGGTAGATAAATAAATTTGATATATATATTTTTTTTATAAAGAATCAATACTAAAAGAATGTAAAGATTAATATTCTTTTTTCTCATTTTCTATATAACATGAGACCTACTAAATTTTTATTATAAATTTTATAAGTAAAAATATTATTAGATAGAAAAAAAAATCATTGTTACTTTTATTTTCCTTTAATGAAAAATAAACATACCTTAATTGTGCGGCAAAATAAGTCAAAAATAAAGTAATTAATTACGACTTTAAGTCATCGACTAGTTTCTTCGTACTTTCTTTTGTCACCTTCTTCCAGCTTAGTCATCGATTAGTTTCTTGGTACTTTCTTTTGTTACATCTTGTTCCAGCTTCCAACTCTAAAATCCACCCGACCAAATGTATATCCTATCAGGAGGAACCTAAGCAACAAGATTTCTAAAAAAACAAAAATAAAAAATAAAAAATATAACGGTAGATTGGAACAGATGTGAAACGCCACATTGGACCTTTAAAGGACATCATTTGATTCATATCCAAGTGGAGTTGTGGACCTTTTTGCAATAAGGGTACTCCCACATGGATCATTCTCAAACTTTATGCCAATTTCCACTTTTATCCCTTATCTTACTTGCCTACTTTAAACTAATGATTTGTCGTCTTTTACCCGATCTGCTATATATGTTAAAAATACATGGAGTTGTTGCATGTGAGGACACGTCAGAGAGGGCATTTTCATTAGGGGCAAAATGGTAATGAGAGTAAAGTTTATGTGATGAAGGAGAATGAGTGTAAAGTTTGAGGGGCAAAAATGGAAATAACAAATTTTAACACTTTATCCACTTGCTCCATATGTCGGGGAAGAAAAATTTAAGCAAATGAAACTATGGTGAGTGCACAAGTTTTATTTCACTAGTGGTATCAAAATGTGGTTTTGAGTGGTGTTTTTCAGCTTTACACGTTACGAAATTAATGGTAATTAGTAGTCCAAATTACATTAATTAAAAAAAATAAGAGCAATACAATTATATATCTTTCGACCAACGACCAATTATAAAGAAACCAAAATAACATTAAGGCATTGATCAATAAAAAAAATTGGTGCTCATATATACTAACTGCAACATCAGTCCAATTTGGTGGTGGGGACAAAGAACAGAATAAAAATCAAATGAGGGAAAATTTGCTAGGCATCTAGATATGACCACTAATTAATCATGGTATATCAGCAAGTAATTATCCTCACAATAGCGAGGGTAGGAATTCAGTGATTGAAGCTTTCATTTACAGATGCTTGGTTACCAGACTCGCTTTTTCGAATGATCCGACCTTGAATTGAGATTAGAAGCCAATGACATATCTGATGCAATGCTGCTATGCATAAAGAAAGCTGGTTCTGAGGGCACTGGGAGGGACAGATAGTTACTGTTTAGCATAAGAGCAAATGTATTCATTGTTGGTCTATCAGCTACATTTTCTTGGACACACAATAGTGGAATGTGGATGCATCTCGTTATTTCAGATCCCGAACTAATTTGTTTCATTAGGGGATCTGCAACATTCAAGGCTGTCCCCTCCCTCCAATTTCTCCATGCCTAACGCGCAAATATAATATCAGCAACAATAAAACTATTACGATAATTCCACTAAAGATGTGTTGATAGTCTCGACCGTTTATATGATACAGCATATTGTAATGCTTTTGTACTTACATAGCTTAAAAGGTCTTCTACATGCTCTCCATGACAGAAACAATTATTTTTCTGTCCGCTTACTATTTCTAAGAGTAACACACCGAAACAGAATACCTCAGACTTGACTGAAAATTGTCCATGCATTGCGTACTCTGGAGCCATATATCCGCTACAAACAAAGAAAGGTTTAGTGATTTGCAAGTCTTATACAAGGAACTAATTAAAAGGAACAAATAATGTTTGCAAGAAAACTCACAACATTATGAATATAAACTAAGATTTAGACAAGTTTGACATGTACTTACTAGGTTCCCACAATTCTACTTGTGTTTCCTTGAGTTTGATCAACAAGTAATAATCTCGCCATTCCAAAATCTGATATTTAGGGTTCATTTCTTTATCTAACAAAATGTTACTAGCCTTAAGATCCCTGTGGATAATTCTCAAACGTGAATCTTCATGAAGGTAAATGAGCCCCCGAGAAACGCCTCCTATAATTTTGTAACGCCTCTCCCAATTCAAATGTGCATGCTTGCTTGGATCTATATATTATACGAGTGTATCATTAAGTTAAAACTTCAAAGCACTTATGTGTTACAGAGTACTTTTTACAACTCAGAAAAAAAGTTGAAGCATAATAGATACATTTTCTATGATTCTGTATGAGAAAAAAGTGCAAAAATGCAACCATACCAAATATGAAGTGATCAAGACTTGCGTTTGGAACAAACTCATATACAAGAAGCCTTTCATTTCCTTCCAAGCAGAAACCGAGGAGCCGTACAAGATTGCGGTGTTAAAGCTTCACAACTAGTAAGACCTCATTCTTGAATTCCAGGTCTCCTTGGCCTGAACCCCTAGACAACCTTTTTACAGCTATCTCTTCTCCATCAGAAAGTCTTCCCTAAAGTACATCACATAAAGTGGATAGGTTCCATTTAACACGATGGATTCTAAGTCATAGTATTTTTTTTTAAAATTAAGTTTTAGTACTTGTGACCCACTCAAATAAAGAACTAATTGTGTAATGTTCACTCATCGCCTTACCCTGTAAACAGAGCCAAATCCTCCCTGTCCAAGCTTATTTGCCTCTGAAAAATTATCTGCTGCAACTTTGATGGTGTCAAAATTGTATTGTAAGGATTCCGCACTTTCAATTTCTTCAACAGGTTCATACAAGGGACGAGCTTGAACAACATGAATCAAATGATTAAGTTAATTTTCTTTTGAACAGAATAAATCAAATGAATAAGTTATTTTTCTTTTGAACAACATAAATAAATCAAATAGTCAACTAAGTTAAAATAAAATTTTGATGTGACAGTAATAAAGTAGCATAGCAGAGGAATTTTATGTCTTGAAGCATAGGAGATTATTATGTGGGGCATTTTCTGTGTTGAAGGATGTAACAACAAAATGTATATATTTCTCAAAAAGAACTGAATTAGATAATGTTAACTTACTTTCCTCCTTTTTTTGGCCCTCTTTATTCTAAAAAACACGCAGACGGAGATAACTAGCACCACCAAAAACAGAGCACTAGTTGAAACAACAACAATAATGACGGTTCTAGACGTGTTACTCTCGTTTCCTGCAAAACCAAAAACTCTGCTCCTATCAAATTATTTTTAGGGGAGAAATTTTCAAAAATCTTACAGTTTTGATGGTAAAATTAATATAATGTAAAGAAATAGACAAGTGTGTCATACTCCACACAATAATTGGCATGAAATGTAACGCCAACTTAAAAAAGTACTAAACAAAGCGATTTTCCATGTTAACTTTCAGAGTTGAGGTTCTAAGTTCCAATAATTCAAAGACAGAAAACACATATACAACATGTATACCTTGTGTTGTGGTGGTGTTAGTCGATGTTGGCGGAGGAGGAGATACCGTTGGCAATAGTAGTGGTGGGGAAGTTGGGGGTGGGTTGGCTGTAGATTCATAGAAGAGGTAATCCTCATACGGCGGGGGTAGAAGAGCCTAACTATGCCTTACTATTCATATAACTTCTGTAATCTTATTGGCCGTAGAAGAGCCTCACCCTCAACGATACGGCGGGGGCTCTTCTCATCGAGGGTCAGAAGCATCCTAGCATTGTTACGGATACGGCTCAATGCATACTGAACTCTCCACAGCTCCCTCTTGCAATGAAGTCCATACTCACCAACGAGTTTCAGCTCAGCATCCAAACGCTCCTTCTCATAGGGACGACGGGGCTTCTTGAATGTCTTCCCATCTGAACATGTACAGAATTCATATCACGATTTTGGAAATTCAAAACAGCAGCAAATTCAGTATTAACCCATATTGCACCAACAAAAAGCCTCACATAAGTCAAAATATCCTGGCTTTATTTTCTTTGTGCTAAAGAAATTAACAAGCCCAATGTTCTATGCATCAGAAGTTCTCAAAAGCATAACACCAAATATGAAAAAGAGAAAATAAAAAAAAATAAAAAACATCTGAATATACAACATTGAAAACTATCAACACGGTGCACAAACAATTACCTTATTCAAATCAAATGTCAAATGTCGAAATCCCATAAAGTAAAACTACAAAATTCCTAAGGATCGATACTTAATCGACCTTCGTTTATGTCAAATCTTAGATCCTTTGTACCCATGACACAAACAGATCACATTCATTTCACACCAGCATCTCAAAAGTTAAGCTAATAATTCCACATAAAAATATCTACTCTTTTAACCGAAAACCCATCATAGAACCAAACAAAATTAAGCAAAACCATTTTCTAAAAAAAAGCACCAAACAGGGTGCAGAACGGGCGCCATAATCAATACAACGCTTGGAAATCACATTCAAATCAGATCACGGATCATTTTATTTGACAACCAAAACCCTAATCCCAATCTCTATAAGGCAAACCACATAAAGTTTCTCGCAGATCACAGATAATCTTAGAGAGAGAGAGAGAGAGAGAGAGATTACAGTTGCGATAGAACGAGACGTGAACCATGGCTCTTCTTCTTCTTCTTCTTCTTCTTCGTCTTCTCCGGCAAGGTCGTTGTTCGTAGCTGTGTCTCGCTCAGTGTCTCGTCTGACTGTAAAATCCCTTTCATACTCTCATTCTAAAACCCTAATCCCAGAACTCCCATGACCTATTAGCCGATGTTTCCAAACACCCCATTTGGGAGTCCAATTTTAGTGTTAGGCCTAATTTCATTTTAATTGGGAATAGTGATAGACCTACTCTTTGTGGGCCTTAAGGAGACCCAATCGGCTATCATGAGGAGGAAATGTGAAAATTACTTTTAAAAAAAAAGAAAATTATTCAACTTATTTAGGGCCCGTTCACTTCACTAACTCAAATTTTATGATTCGAGTTAAAAAACTAGATTCGAGTTTCAAAAAAGTTGAGTATAATTTGAAATTTGGAGTTTAGTGTTTAGGTGTTGACTATTTAACTTTTGAAACTTGAGTTTTGTGTTCACTTGCACAAATGCCAAACTCTAATTATTTTCAACATTGGCATGCATTTCTGTTATGTAAAAAACGTGAACATGGTGCATTTCCCACATTGGCATGCATTTCTGTTCTTCATAAGAATATATATATATATATATATAAATGTATATATATATATATAACATATATATATAACAATCTGGGGAGGACAATTATAAAGGCAACCAAGTAATACAGAAAAACTAATCTATCAACGCCGGTTGTTCTCATATGCAGCCCACATACTATTAGCTATTTCATCCCTTAAAATGTGCATTTGTCGTCGGTGTGGACGGTTTTGATGTTGTTGGCTTCCCCGATCAGGATTGTGATTTTGATTCACATCTTGCTCTGTGTTGAGTGGATCAATTTCTGCTACCGGAATGGCGTCTCTCATGTATTGGGTTAGTAGATCATCGTTGTGGTTGTACATATGTATGAAGTTGTGTAGAATAGCACAAACAAGTGGAATATCTATTTGTGTCTGTATCGGGTAGTTATTAATGCACTTAAGAATACGAAACCTGGCTTTCCAGACGCCGAATGTGCGCTCGATACAGTTTCTGAGGGAAGAATGAGTGTAATTGAATAGCTCACGCTGAGTTTGGGGCCGACCCCTCCTTGCCCGATACTCTTGAAGGTGGTAAGTGCTCCCTCGGTACGGTGCCAAGAAACAATCATTGTTTGCGTACCCAGAGTCGACGAGGTAATATTTACCTGTTGTGTGCGTTAGAATATATTACGTGAATGTATTAGTTCCACATGGAAGCACAAACGTGTAGTTTTCGAAAAGTAATGAAAGATCAAGCTTACACATACCTTCTGGTGGAGTAGGGAAATTTTTTTCCCTCGTTTCTGTTGCGGATGCAAGCACACGTGCATCATGAGCAGAGCCCTCCCATCCAGCTAACATGTATGTGAACCTCATGTCGAACGAACAGACTCCTAATACATTTTGAGAGAAGAACCCCTTCTAATTTCTCCATACCTCAGCATTTGCAGCGGGTGGAACACATGGTACGTGAGTACCATCCAGAGCGCCAACACAATTCTACGTAGTAACTAATTACCATACACAACAACGCAATTCTACATATTTATCTTAAAGAGTAATTAGTTTAGAAAAAATACCTGGAACCATGGCAGATACTTGTTTCCACGCGCGGCTACGACAGGATCGATAATGTCGAAGTTTGGTGGTGTAAGGAAGTTAAAACGGAGCTCATACAACGCCTTCAAAACAGCGTGGAAGTACTTTGAAATGGTAGCACCCGAATGCTGCCATTGATCTTGTGACTCCCTGTTGTTTGAACTTTGACATACAATGTATAGAAAAATAAAAAGTTGCTCGTGCACATTCATATTCCTAGTCGGTCTTAAAAGCCCTTTAAGCTCAAGTAACGTACTAAGACGCTTGAAACAATCACTTCCCATTCTAATCTTCGACCTAATAACGTCCTCATGTCCATCAAGTAGGTATTGAACACGCATTATACCTGTGAGTGCGGATGTATGCTTTGGTTGAGGCAGGGGTCTTTCCATGTATGTGTAGTAATACCACAAAACTACTGCTACTGCCACAATCTCATAATCGTCATCTGAGTCGTCACTATCATCATTTTCAAGAACGTGGTTTGAGGGACCTGCATTCCACATTGCTACCTGCGAGACATGCATAATGAAAGGATAACAAACGAATATATATGAAATGGTCATTTGATCCGCAAGTAAAGGTGACTACACATAGTACATCAATAAATATTGTTCTGCGCAATGCAACTCAATAACCATAATCAATACAACACCAGCAGGGCCGTAGTAAACATAATTAGCAAAGTCTACTCAAATACTATGTTGAAATCTAAAAATGAGAAATGATGTTCAATCGTATGAATACAGACAATGGTAAAAACAATATTTTATGGAACTCAATGCTGGTCTGGACTGCCATCGCCACCAAAGTGTCCCGGTTGCGGCGGAAAGTGAGGCATGTAGTATGGTGTTTGGGGATTATACGCAGCCGGTTGTTGGGGATTGTAGTTTTGGGGATTTGTAGGAAATGGTGGGACAGGTTGTTGTCCCCCAAAGTTTGGGGGCCGTGGCATATTGTTGGTGGGTTGTTGGCCATAGAAGGGAGCCGGTTGCATATAGCTGCTGGGTTGTGACATGAAGTTGGGAAATTGTGGCGGCATAAACTGTGTCCCCGTAGAGGCATGGGGGTTTGAGAAAGGTCCATGTGATTGAGTCCTAGACATACTGATTGTTCTTGTCACGAAGAAGTTACGTTGAGTATCACTCATTCCCACGAACAGCTTCTGCATATTTGGATACCAAGCAATAGCCTCCAAAAACATTATTGCGGTTTCATCATCAAGCGCCATTTCCCTAACTATGCCCTGGCATTGGTCCTGGAGATCGACAATAGGCGCAGCTTGATTCGCACTAGAGCTTTTAGTGCGACTACTACGCTTGCTTTCAATAGAAGAGACAAGCTTGCCGATTAAATCCCTCGCTACAGGGTCACATATTACCTTATGTGAGGACTTGGCTGGTTTCTTGCCGATCGCTTTCGAGGACGACGCAATGTTGAGACCTCTAGCTGCATTGTTCAAACCGGCCCGCATGGAGGCAATGAAACCATCTTCGCTGCCACCCTCATCAGATGTCGCCCTTTCTTCGTCGGAGATGTGTACTGGACCCTCATCTATGTTCGTTGGATTATCCAATCCCTTCTCAAATGCCCCACTTGCCCTCGTACCACCAAAGGCCTCATAGTACAAGTCCCAATTTTTAAGAGGCTGATTCTTTGCCGATTTTGCCCATTTCTTGTTCTGCATATGAATGAGCAAACAAAATGACCTTGGCAAAATATTGCAAGAATTGACTACCCATAGAACAATAATTGTTTAGACGTTTACCTTGGCAAAATCTTCCCAATATTCATCAGTGCATGTCACAGCACCGGTAACAGGGTCCCAGCCAAGTCCTGTGTTATTGCGTAATGTAAGCTCATGGTCAAACTTGGCTTTGAGTCGGACTTTCATCTGCTGCACTTTGGCAGGGGTGACTTGATCCTTAAAGAACTGTTGAAGATGTTGCGCCCAATCCTCCCATGTTTTAGAATCCGGTTTTCGACCGTTGGCATCACGATTGTAGGCAGCGAGTCGCATAAGCAACTCCTCTTTCTGCCTTTCAGTCCAGTGTAGAGTGGCTTCATCGTCGGGTTTCCCTCTCGGCATCTAAAAATAGGAAAGAAAGAAGCGTAACGACGCACAAGAAGAATGGCCGTACGCGTGAGTCAGATATTTGAAACAATCTAACGACTAGACACAGTTATAAATGGCTCCGAACATTTTTCGAACATCACTGCCATTAACCAACGTACTATTACCTGGTTTATACATGTAACAAGTGAGGCAATGTTATTACTGGCTCAGAAATTTTGTAGCTGAGAAATCGCAACAACACTCGGAGCATCATCCTTATAAGCAGGAGTGACGTAGCTGCCATGCTTCAGAGGCACTCGATAAATTCCAATGAAGCGATAACTAACTGTCACATTGCCTACAGGACGCCACTACGACGAGTGTTCTAATTTTTGAACCAATTTCATCATTGCCAACATTACCTGTTTGTTAAGCGGTCATGTGCGATACAACCATAGGGGAGTCAATACACTAACAGCAGAGGCAGTAGATCCACAGGGGAGGCAATAAGCTAATGTAAAAACGGCAACAGGATAGCCAATACAACAATAAGAGAGTCCATAAGCTAAGGTAAAAACAGCAACAGCAGAGCCAATACATCCACAGGGGGAGGCAATAAGCTAGGTAAAAACGGCAACAGCACAGCAAGTACAACAATGGGAGATGCCATAAGCTAAGGTAAAAACGGCAACAGCAGAGCCAGTACAACAATAGGAGATGCCATAACCTAAGGTAAAAACGGTAATGGAGAGAATATACGACAATAGGGGATGCCATAAGCTAAGGTATAAACGGCAGTGGAGATAGTATACGACAACAGGGGAGGCAGGTAATAAGCTAAGATATAAACGGCAACAGGAAAGCCAATACGATAGCAAGGGAGGCAATAATCTAAGGTAAAAACGGCCATAGGACAGCCAATACGACAACAGGGTAGGTAATAAGCTTATGTATAAATGGCAACAGGAGAGACAATACGACAACAAGGGAGGCAATAAGCTAAAGGTAAAAATGGCCACAGGACAGCCAATACGACAACAGGGTAGGCAATAATCTAAGGTAAAACGGCAATAGGATAGACAATACGACAACAGGGGAATAAACAAGCTAAGGTAAAAACGACAACAGCCAAGGCAATACGAGAACAGGGGATGCAATAGCCACAGGGACAAACGACAACAGTTGAGGCAATACGACAACAAGTAAGAGAACATCGTGACTGCGAACGACAACAGTGGTCTCACTACACATTAGCATCACAATACAAACGACAAGGAATATGTCTCACGTTTCCATCACAATGCAAACGACAACCAATATCTCAGCATCAAATCAGTGAAAACGAAGAAGAACTACGGTGCGATCATGACAAATCCAGAACAAATAATGGTATATAGGAGATTAGTAGTTGTGAAATATCATACCCGGTTGGAACCAGTTGAGGACAAAGGCTTATCGTCTATCAAAACCCCCAAACGCGATCGTGAGGCAGCGCGTACGACGGCTTGACACCGGAACCGCCGATGGTAACCTCTCAACGGAAGATAACCAGTAGATGCAAGATTCTTCCGTTTGACTCTACATCGACGCAATAAGACGGCCAACGGAGTTTGCCGGTTGCATCGAGGCGGATGAATGGTATCCGTGATGAAGATTCAAGGGCAGGGGCGGGGAACACTTCTAGGGTTGGGCATGCAACAAGAAATCGAAGCAAAAATGGTGGAAATAGGGGAGAGGTTTACCTTTTTTCGCTGCGGATCGACAAAGTAACCGATTCGAGTAACCTTCCCCCAATGGAGAGAGTCAATTTTCACTCTAAAAATCTGCAGACAATAGCTTTTTTCAGAGTGAAATTAGAAGGGGGAGGCAGGAACCAGGGTCCAGCGGGCAAAAAGCATAGAGAAATCTGCACTGGGGAGGCAGGAACGAGGCAGCAACGGGAAGAAATCAGGAATCTGCACTGTTCAAGCACATGAAAACACTGTAGAAGCACACTGCAGTAATGGAAAAACGAGTGGTGTGCCAAACTCTGAAATCAGAGTTATTACTCGAGTTTCACACTCGAGTTCTGAAATCAGTTATTACTCGAGTTTCACACTCGAGTTTTGGTTAATGAACGTAAAACGCAACCCAAAATTCAATTCGAGTGGGCTGTATTCGAGTGGGATACATGAAGTGAACGGGCCCTTAAAGTATGCGATAATCAATATGAATTATATTATTAAAAAAATAATAAAAAATAATATAATTTTAAAAAAATATTTATTATCACGTTATGTTAAATATAAGAATTTAATAATAGATTCCTGAGAATATCATTTTATCATTTTATTGTAATTAAACACAGTAATATAATTTTTTTACATAATAAACAATTTTAAATATTTTAAAATTAATTTATTAAATACTTTTGCTAGTGAAATTTACTCAACAGATTATTATAGTTTTGACATCATAGGTTTTTTTTCAAATATAATTAAAAATATTAGAAAATATAAAAAACGTAAAAAAAATGAATAATCAAAATCAATTTTAAAATTAACACAAAAAAAACTTGCAAAAAGGAATAGGCACCCTCCCTTCTCGATCCCTCTCTTTCCTTCTCTCTCTCTATCCTTACAAATTCAAATCAGATCTCTCTCCCCTAAAAACTCAAATCAAATCTGGTATGACACGGGAAGGACGGTGGCTTGCGGTGGAGGGAGTCTGCGACGACGGTTGGGAAAAGCTGCGACGGAGGTGGGCTGAGATTAGTCTTGCAATGGTTGTAGGCTATAACGGGAGGGCTTGCGACGAAGAGGGAGGGGGCCTAAGACGGTAGTCTTTCTCGGCGACGGTAGCCATGGAGGTGGGGAGGCGATGGCCGGCGGCCGATGGCTGAGCATTGGGGATGGGTCTGCAGGTTTGTGGTAGCTGGGTGGGTCATGATCTATGGTGGTGGTTGTGTGGGTGGGCTGTGATTTTGGGTATTTTGGTGAGATTCGTTTATGAGATTTCTGAGCATTTGAATAACACTTTTATTCAGATTATCTTAGTTTGAGGTAAAATGAATCTCATGGGATTTACTTTCTCATAAATATAAAAATTAAAATTCTTATGCCAAACGTGGGAACGCGAGAAGATTTTCATTTCCACTCAGAGATTATCCCATATCAAACACTCCAATACATAAATTTAAATTTTTATCTATTATTCGTGATTAATACTTTTTTTACTAATGTAATTATTCAACTAAAAGCCCTTTAACTAATGTAATTATTCAACTAAAAAAGATATTAACTAAGAATAATAAGTAAAAATTTATATTTATGCACTATATAAAAGGATATTTATCTCATTTTTCTCTTCATTTCTCCCTCTAAAAATTAGATTACATGGCGTGTGTTTATAAAAGTGAAATTAAAACATGGCATTAACATAGTCGTATTCTCTTGTTATAATGATCTTCAA